CCAAAGTACTATGTCAGACTTGAATAGCATCAAGATAGCCTAAGGAACTCCAGTATGAAATCGAATTTTGAAAAATGATTGTTTATTATTTAAAAATTAGCTGGAGATCAATAAGGCTGACTTGGGTGGTAAGTTTCAAGTTGACATGATTATTGCCTTGTTACCAAACTCGCTCGACTCTGTTAGAGTGAACTAAATAAGGAATCAGTTTGAGTTTACACTCGCTGATATTCTTATAGAATTGGTAACAGATGAAGGGATAATCAAGAGTATAGGTGTTCCTATCAATCTAACCTAGTCTATACCATCTTCTTCTAGGCCCAAGTGGACGGGCAAAGCAAAGAAGAAGGATGATAATAGGACTAGGCTAGCACAAAACATGGGTATTCAAAAAGGTTAAAGGGAATAAGGCAGTGTATATTGAGGGCGAAGAAAACTGTTTCTTTTGTCGCTAACTAAAATACTAAAGGACGAACTGTTTAAGCAATGACGTGGCATAGGAAAATATATATTTAATCATTGAGCTATGTTATGTGGTTGCATCTATTAATTCCTGATGGATAGATTCTGGAGCCACTAAACATGTTTGCAATTCATCGTAAAGATTTCAGGAATCCAAAAGCCTTGATGATATGGATATATATTTATCTTTTGACCTGATGCCAAGGTTGTAGTTAGGTCAGTGGGAGTATTACATCTGAAATTAGAGAGTATGAGGATATTAGTATTAGAAAACTATCTTTATGCACAGAAGTTAGACGCAATCTAATTTTTGTTTCACTTATGGTTTATAAAAACTGTGTTGTTATTTTGTAAAACTGGTTTTATAAAATTAAATAGATATGCTATTGCTTCTAGTGCATTGAAAGATGGTTAATATACTATAATCACAAACTCTTAAGATTTGCAGGATGTAAAAACTAATGTTGCATCTTCTAGATTGAATGTTAAGAGAAAAATTGTTATTCCTGACTCATTGTATTTTTAATGTCTATTTTTGGTTGTTATCAATCAAAATAAGATTCAAAGATTGGTCAAAGAAGGTTAATTACCTAGTGAGGTAGGGGAGCCTAAACCAGACTTGTGAACCCTGTTTTGAAGGATAGATAACTCTTAGGGCTTAATCAGCCAGATGAAATAGACATAAAGGACAATTGGAGTCGGTACACACTGACACGTGTGGTCTTATGAACTTCCAAGCAAGATTACTCACGTTTTGGATAAGTTTATCTGATGCAACACAAGTCTTAAACTTTTGGTATTTTCTGAGAAGGTTAAGACTGATGTGGAACACATATTAGGTAAACTTATCAAGACACTTCGATCTGATCGAGGATATGAGTATTTCTTGGGATAGTGCAAAGACTATATGGTCAATGAGGGTATTATGTACCAGTTTTCTGCAATTGACGCTAAATGTATTTAGGTGTCAAATAGGAATAATAGAATTCCACTTAACATGGTTAGATCTATGATCAGCTATGCTACATTATCTCTTTCATTTAAGAGTTTAGCGTTAATGACATCGATGCGCATTATGAACTGCATTCCATCTTAGTCTGTCTCAAGGATACCGTTGAGCTGTGTTTTTTACTAAATATTAGTTTGAATCATATGCACATATGGGGTAGTCTTGCACATGTGCGCTTGATATGGACAAGTAAGTTGGAAGCAGATCATAGGCATGCTAGATTTGATAGCTACTCTAAATGTCACTAGGATGGATTATTTTATGATCTCAAAGATAAAAGTTGATTATTTTCACTCACTGTTTATCTATAGGAGAATCATATTATGAATCACATACCTAGTAGCATAATGTTAGAGAATTTGGTATGAGTACCAGATGTACCACATGTGAACACACTTATTATAGAGATTGAGAATAATATATGAATTCCCTATTGATGCGTTAGCATCATCTACTACACAGATTCTTGCATCGGTACATTGATGTAGTGGGAGGATTATCATCCAATTCGACAGAATCATGTTTTTAGGTGAGACCATTATGGACATCCCTATTAAACATGAGTTGGACCCAGTAAGCTACACGGAAGCGTGAACCGATGTGGATACAGATCGTTTTGGTGAGTTACTATGAAATCAGAATTGGAATCTATGTATTCTAATAAATTCTGGGATCTTGTAGAACTTTCTAGTAGGGTGATTCCTATGGAAGGCAAGTTAATCTACAAAAAGATACCAGAAGATTTCTTAGTGAATAAATCATGAGTGTACAAGGGAATGTTATTATTTTTCTAATTCTATATATATTGATGACATCCTACTCATTTAGAATGATGTGGAAGTTTTGTCATCAATAAAGAGGTAGTTGTTCAATTACTTTTAAATGAAGGATTTTCAGGATGTAAGCTAGATTCCTAGGATCAAGTTTTTGCAAGATCAGGTTAAAAGGAAAATAGGCTTATCTTAATAATCCTACATTGATAAAGTTTTGACCAGGTTTGGTATGCATAACTCAAAGAATGAGTTCTTGCTTTATTGATATGGATTGCTCTCTCTAGTAAGTAGTTTTTCAAGACTATCAAAGGAGATTGAGCAAATGATACTGGAACAATATGTTTCGGCATATGAGAGTCTCATATATGCCATGGTCTATACCAAACAGGACATCCGCTACATAGTAAGGATAGTCAGTAGAGATCAGTCCAATACTGGACTTGACAACTGGTCTATTGTGAAAAATATCATTAAGTACTTAAGGAGAACCAATGATATCATATTCATTTATGGATGTGATGATATGGTCCTAGTCAGGTATGCTAGTTCTGATTTTCAATCAGAAATAGATACTATGAGGTTCATGACTTAGTGTATGTTCACTTAATGGAAGGGAGATCAGTTGATAGATTGTTAAGTAGATTTCAACTGCTGACTCAAACCTGTAGGTGGAATATATTGCAGCCTTAAAGGCGGCAAAGGAAGCCTATTGGTTTGATCTCACTGATTTAGAGGTTGTGGAGCATACTAGCCTGCCTATCGAGCTATATTGCGACAATAGTGCAGAAGTAGTCCAAACCAATGACCCAAGGTTCCATAGAAGAACAAAATACACTAATAGGAAGTATCATGTTCTACATGATATTGTCCAGCAAGAAAATGTACTTGTGGCTAGAACATTGCATTGGAACACAACTTTGTTGATCCATTAACAAAGGTGTCGTCGATCAATAGTTTTGATCAACACCTGGATAACATTGGAGTTAGATGCAATTTGAATTGGCTATGAGGAAAATGTACTTGTGGCTAGAACATTGTATTGGAACACAACTTTGTTGATCCATTATCAAAAGTGTTATTGATCAATAATTTTGATCATCATCTGGATAACATTGGAGTTAGGTGCAATTTGAATTGGCTATGAGGGCAAGTGGGAGCTATTGGGATTTATATGCCCTAGCATAGCAAATTCCTGTTTGGATTAAAGTGACATATGTTCCTGACGTTTATGAAATATTTATGTTTTATACAATTGGTGAATTCAATGTATTATATTTCGATTCATTATAGAATTGATAGTGTCCATTTGATTACAAGAGATATTTATATATATGTTTGTGATGGCAATCAATGCATGATATATAAATAGTAATCATAAATGGTTCATAGTCGGTAATTATGGATGGACTCATAATTAATTAAGATTTGAACTGGATCCGCGTTAGGTTGAAATATATTGCGAGAGCCGTCATATGCAATTGCTCCCTATCACCGTCATGGCATTTGATTCTTAAGTATGAGAAAATTATAGACTCTTTTATTAATTAATAATTACTTTGATTTGTTCGGCGGATTCTTCGGGATCCTTAGACCGATACTTTGGGTAGTTATGTAATTAATAGTTAGAGGGTTATATTTTTAATATTTGCATCATTGCTACTTGTATTTATTTTGTATTGATTATGGTTGATCACAAAGTAAATTCGAAGGCCTTCGTGTGTTTTTAGACAAAATGATTTATTATATATTTATTTATTTAAATTATTATTTTTGTCAAACAAATGTTTTATTGTGATCGAGCCAGAAATAATCAGAGGTACCAAAATAGATATATTAATTAAGTAGTCGGATTGATGGCTTTATTTATCCGATAACTAATTATGCATAGAGGGGTCAAAGTGCAATATTGGCTTAGAGGTTATTTATTATTTAATTGGAGTTCAATTAATTTCTTTTAGTGGAGTAGAAATTAATTTATGAATTAATTGAATTGGGTCCATGGACCGGGCCAATTATTAATTCATTGTAGCCAATAAAATAATAGGCCCAATGGATTCTCACTCATAGCCCAACTTGATATTGGAATCATATTAGATTTGAGACATATGAATTAGAGATGGAGAAGGATTTGTTGTTTCCTTTTCTTTATTTTTATGTTGCCTATAAATATACATGGTTTATGTATATTTTAGGGGGTAATTTTTAGTAGAAGGAAAAAAGAATATATTTTCTCTCTCTAGAAAATTAGGGTTTATGTTCTCATCTAATGGAGGCTCCCACAAGCCTAGTTTTCCAAGGTCATTCATGGAGGCTTATGAGTGATTTCTAAAGGTAAGACCATTACCAAGAAGATGGAGATCCATGGAAAAGGTGTCTAACAAAAGGAATCTACAATAAGTGAGAACATTCACTTTAGAGGAGAGATCTAAGGTTTACTCAAACCTTGATGTAAGTATTCAATCTTTTAATTAAATGATACATTATATTTTATTTTTGCATAAAACTTGTCTCTATGTGATGAATCAAGATTTATGAATCAAAATCTGTCGAAAAGTTTTTAAAACTTGCACGTTTCCCAACAGGAAGGACTTTGGGCAAGAGGGTAGGCTTTTGATATCATCTTCAGTTGAGTAAATTACTGAATTATATGGTGAAGGTTACAAAGTAAACTTACAGACAAATCATGAAAAACTGAACACACACACATATTATATATTTAATACATTGCGAATATTATTATTTTAGGAGGTATGTACCTGCTCCTAGAATCAATCCATATTTTCTTTTTCCTGCAATCAATGTTGAGCAGAAATATGTTAGTTCCGGCATAAAGAAGTATGAAATCAAAGTAGTGTAGTTGGCTTACTCTTTCAACCTCAACTAAGGATCCAAAAAAAATAAAATAAATAAAATTCCAGCCCCTTATACAGAACCGATTAAGGGTGTAAAAGAGAGTCCTACTGATTGAAGATCTTGACCTGGTTTGTGCGGATTACTTAATGCAGAAACAGTAGCATATATATATATATATATATAGAAACATTCATACCTTTCTCATGACATTGAAATTCTTCACCGACATTTAGGCATTGGCCTCCTCTACTTCGACACTGATTACAATCAGGGGATATATGCAATTCAAGATGGAAAGTTTCAACCAATATTGAAGATAGGTTTGTGGGGTTTAGAGAATTTTGCCACGGCTTTATTGGCAGCTGAATAGCTGAACATTCATGGGGAACAATACCGGATGCTGGTTGATGATCATAAGACTTCAAGTAATTGTAATAAATTGAGTAGCCGCCTCTGCAATCGTACCTAGTATAATTATTACTAGTTTTAAAATAAAACGCTGTTTGAGGAGTATTGTAGCACTTGAAGAAGGTGAGATTGTGTAAGATTGTGAAGGAAATGAAAGGAACGTTGGAAAGAGTTAGATTCCTGAACTTGTCATTACAGCTTCCATTAGATATGTGATCTTCGAGCAGGGGATCATGAATTTGAAGGAATTTGTCACTTGTGATTTTAACATCATACCAGCGTTGGCTTCCTAGTTCGACCTTTGGAACTGGATGATCACAATCTATCACAATACCGCAATGGCCATACGTGGTATTTGTGAAAGGGAAGCGGATGGGACTCTGATTTCCACATTGGAAGAACTGGGGGCAAGTGGGTAGGCTTTTGATATCATCTTCAGTTGAGTAAATAAGCGCTAGATGGGAAAGAAAAACCAAAGCAAAAATGGAGGCAATAGCCATTTGAAGTTCCCCAAAAAAAAAAAAAAAAAAACAGAGGAAATCAGTAAAGAAAAGAAGAAGAAGAGGCAGAAACAAATTCAGTTGTTTAAAACTAGTTAATTATGCCCCCCTTCTTGTTTTTGCTTGTTCACAATACATTAACATATATGTTTCATCTGTCTATCAGCTCAAACACGCCGAGTTGACTTGGAAAATGATAGGGAAGACTTGCAGAAGCAGACTCAGAGAAGACCCAAGACATTACAAATAGCCGGACAAACACTCCAATGAAGAAGTTTCCTACTCATTTCTCTCATTGACCAGCCCTACAAAGACTCCTTGACTCTTCACACACACACACACACACACACACACACTCTCTCTCTCTCTCTCTCTCTCTCTCTCTCCTCATTTTCTAACTTAAACGAAAGGGCCGCGAAGGCCACTGTAGATTTTTAGGCTTGTTTGAAATGTCAAAACTAACAATACTACTAGTAACAACACAACAAAAAAGTCTTGTCTCATAGTGAGAAAGCAAGTGGTGGTGATAATTTTATTAGGGGTCTTGGTCTTAAAAGAACGCAAAAGTCTTTATTATGAAAACGGACATTGAAACTTTATATTGTGTGGTAGTCTTTATTCGTTGGTGTACGAGACGGGGCCAAAGAAAAAAACAGTAAAGCTAAAGATAATAAGTCATGATCATGGATGAATACTTTGGGGAGGTCCATGGTTCTTCCATAATTTCAAAGAGAGTAGTCAGGACTGTGTTTGATTATACTGCCCTCTCCACAATTTGACATTGCTCACAAGGCATTGCATTGTATTATAATACAGTGCAATGCCTAAAAAAAAAAAAAAAAGAAGTGGTCGGGAAGGTTGTAGCCCTCTCATTGGATATTTTATTTTATACATAGAAAATTTCGGTTTTGTTATTAATAGACACTTTAAATAACTGAAAGAAAGGAAATGAATTAGTTATTCCTCAACCTTTCAATTATTCAATGACAAGAATTAAAAGAGGTTGGAGTCAATTCAAAAGTCTAAAACAGCAAAAGGGTGATGGATTGTGCATGAAATACGTGTAATTGGATGTATATTGTGTGTAATTAAGAGGGAAAAAAGAAAATGGGGCCAAGTTTCAATCTTAGCAATTTCGCGAACAACATTAAAGCCTGGGGTAGCTTCAGATTGCTATTTCAGTGTCACTAATCTTGAAAGAAAGCTTCAAATCTCCAATCTGCTAATGAAACTGACTCAACTAAGTGGATGAAGACGGTGATGAGTTAATTTGAAGACTCTTAGTACATCTATTTAGAGTTCTAGTTGTATTGTATGAACAGAGACACTATGCAGCAATTTTTCTAGAAGCCTGCCTTAGCAGTTTTTCAAATGGGGTCGATTAGGGCAGAAATAACTAATTCATGTAGTCAACCAATTCCAGTACTCTCTCCAGACAATACCAATGTAAATCCATTCATTAATTGTTCCTCTTTCATTTGTGAGGCTGGGTGGGAGAAAGCTTGTGAGAGACAAGGCTCTAATGCGAGCTGCTCACAAGTTCGACATGAGTATGAAAAAATGAAATGCTATATGTAGGTTCGGGACAGATCCATTTCAGCCCACTGAAAGCGAGCCCAGTGTAACCTTAAAAAGAGTGACAGAAAGAGAAGGGATCTTGTTATACCCATCCCATAAAGCCCATGAAAAAAAAGAGTCAAATGGACCAATGCAAGCACAAGTACAACAAACTAAAATTATTAATTTTTTACTTTTTAGGAGGCCATATTTTTATTTATTATTATTATTATATTGTTTTTGGGCATTGGTTATACTTGCCTTAACCTACAAAATATGTAACCACGTAACAAGAAAAGATTGATTAAAATTTTTGACGGGCCATCTGATATCAGGCCAACCCAAAAGCTAAAATTGCAGACAGTTCAAGAAAAGCATGGGCCCATGATATGCAGACCCATGATATGCAGGCCCATTAGAGAAGGCATCTGGAATTTGTGAATGGGTCAATTTCGTTCAGTTATATGCACTAGGCCCGCTACTATAAAGGTTGAAAATTCACATACCATGCTGGTGACCAATTGTGAGCATGAGGCTGGAGTACAAGAAGATGATGTTGTACAACATATGGTTAGTGGTGCTACGGAAGGTGTTGATGGCACAATTTTTTTATTCTGTGACGAGCATGCACGGATATATAAAGGACTTAGTGGGGGCATGCGCTCCCACTGAAATATTTTATTTTTATTTTTATATTCTTAAAATTATTCTTTCTTGCATTTATACTCATACAAATTTGAAAATTTCCTCACTGAATTTATGAAAAAACTCTTCCTAAATCCGTCCCTGCAATGAGAAGACTAACACTAACAGTGTTAAAAGTTTTTGTAGTATTAAACCTTTGGCAGTAAAAGATGTTTTCAATATCATTCGACAGACTTCAAGCAAAGAATTTTTTTATTGAAAAGGCATATTGGCTTAGAAAGGGTGACAAGAATTGACCTGCCCATTAATTACCTCACAGGTATTTCAAGTGGATTTCAATATCTATCCAAAGTCATTCAATTACAACTTTTTGACATGGGAATTCATCTTTCAAATGGGTTTAGGCAATGCACACGGAATTGGGTTAATGACACGATTCTAATTTGATTTTTCTAAACGTGGAGTACATTGAAGTGGGCCAGAAGAATTTCTTTGTTGTCATGCCTTGTGAAATTGGGTAGTATTGTGCACATTTGCAAAGACTTGATGTCTCAAATAATTTTTTTTATTCTAAACTACTCAGGGAGATAAGAGATATGGCAGGATTGGTGTTCTTGTAGAAATGGATAATTAAAAAGCAAGTTTACGAAGAATCAAAGTCATACGTTTAATGGTATGAAATTTTATTTATATTGATACATGATGAGTTGCAGCGTAACTGGGGATGAATTTTTTTCAGAGTGAAGAGGACTGATGTAATACAATTTTCTCTAGTTAGTAATTTTATTTTTATATTTTTTTTATAGGAAGTGTAGTTTTATTTAATTAGTTTGAAGAATTGTTTTCCTTTTGCTATTATGTTTGCTTATGTTTTTAGTTTTCTTCTAGTGTTAAGTTTTCTTTTATTATAAATATATATACTGCCAAGTGCAGAATTAAAATTTTTATTCATTCAATTATCAATACAAATATCACATTTCTCTAGAAGCATCATTCGTTTTGTAAATTCAAAATACCCTACTTTGTGGATTCAAAGTAAATTGTTCCTTGTGAATAAATTTATCACTTCCACTACACCACAGATGTATTGCAAACTCCGAATATTTGTAATCACTTCCAAACCACACATATCACTTTTAGCTTAGGTATTTTTTTGCTCCTGTGAGAATTGAACCTAGAACTTCTAGAGTTTCCGATTTGACCCTAGGAGACCCTTATCCTTTGGGTCAGCCGTGCTAATTAGCCTTTCTTGGGGGCAAACATACGTCTTTTGCTCACATCTGAACTCAAACTCCTCCTCTCCTCTTTAAGAATAGGAAGATTGTACCGTTAGGCCGGCGAAAGGCCCTTTGGTCCCCCATCATATATTTCTCTCTCACATTCCCTATATGTGAACTTCATTAATGATCATAGCCATTTCAACAATGGATCCAATCAAGAGTGCAAGAAAAATTCAACCCATGAAATGTTACAAGAAGGGTGAGTACTTTTTTAACAATCTCATTCTTCACTCTCTCATAGCTCTAATTTGTACCTTGTGTTCACATCCTTTGTGGTTCCACCCTATATTGTCTTCAATGAACCACTTTGTCTTTGTTAGTATCCAAAACTTCATTTCTTTCTTCTTCAACCCCAAGTACTTGTTCATAGTAGGCAATGTCATTGTTACCATCCTTGTCAGAAGCTCAAAGCTTGTTGGTTCGCGTCCATCTCCGGTCACTGAGATTTATGATGAGTATGTTAAGAGGAGCCAAACTCTTCGCAAAGCCTATACGTACGAGGAGAAGAAAGAAGAAGGGAAATTGACAGAGAGGGAAAACAGATTGAAGAAGAAAAACATGTATTTAGTGGAGAGAGATCGAAAAGATTCGCAAAGCAGAGGAGCCTGGTTTACTTGTTGAGGAGTTGAACCAAAGAGTTGAAGATTTTTTTCCTAGGGTTAACAAGTAAAGGTGGCTTGAAGAATGAAGTAATTGATTGATCAAAATGTGGAAGGCACACTTGACATGTGCACTCATAAGAATGTGTCTTATAGGGAGTGAAGGTTGGAAGAGCACTCATCCCGAACTCACTAGGGATGACAGGGAAGGGGGTTTGAGGGGACTTCCAATTACCCCCTATGACAATGGGATTTTTCTTCCAATTTTTGTCTGAATCAGAAGTGTTGGTGCAGATCTTTCGAATGGTGATGGGATGGAGATGTTACCAGAAGCTGGTTCTACTAGCCCTAATCACTTTGTAGCAAGAAAAAAGGTCAAACGCATCTAATTGAAGACCCCGTTCCAGATTTAGAAGTATCATAGAGGATATGATCTTATAGAAGTTAGGATTGACCTGAAGTGTGGCCAACCCTAAAACATTGAGGACCGAATGGAATAAAGGATGAAGGGGGAATCTGACCACATAGAGTTGGGACAGAGTAAACAAAATTTCATCGTTCTCAAGGCCCCTCCCGGTGCTAGCACCTTCATCGTCTGAGTAAAAACGGGTGGTGACACCGTCGGGGATGTTATAACGAACACGAAGGACTTTGATGTTAATACCCATAGTGGTGGAAATAAGGGTGAAAAAAGATAGAAGAGATTGCAAAAACTAACCTTGAAGACGAAGGAAATAGAAAAGCAGAGAAGATCGCCAAAAAATATAAACTCTCGCTGGAGGGAAGCTTGAAGATTGAAGTACGGGAAATATAAAGGTAGTACTTGACAGTGACAAGAGAGAAAAATGACTAAAGTCATTTTCAATTTATAGAAGCAGAAGACATTCACGTGGGGAGGTCAGAAATCAAAGCAATCATGACGATTTGGGAACCGAAGGACTAAACACGACTCGCCCATACACATTCCCCCACACCGTCACGTCCAATCACAACCCTCATCGTCGTCATTATATATATTAATGTCGCCCTAATCATTATGGCAAAATTAAAGGGGCAGATGAAGAGTTGGGAAATGCGAATGGACGTGAGTTGAGCCAATTGCAGCCCAACAGACCCAACCGACTGGGCTGCTGTGATACCCCCTAATTTCGGAACACGGGTTGATCAAGTCCGCGCACAAAACCAGAGGATATCAAAACAATTAAAGTATTTTAAACAAGCACAGAATACAAAGATGAATAATAGAGAATAAATAAACCGCTGAAGAAAACTAATAAATAAATATTACTTAATGATTCTCTAACAATTACAATTCGGAAATCCCATAACTCAAGGACCCCTTAAAACATTATCCAATAATCCAATACTATTTAAAAGTACACAAGATGAATAGACGAATGACAGTCTCCCAGCTGCGGATCCTCAACCTCGAGACTGGAACCTCTAATAACCTGAAAAATAAATCGTGGGTTAAACCCTACGAGCAAGTTCACTCTACCAGGCCTCTGAAAACCAATAAGCAGATCATCTCTGATCAAAACCAAACCTAATAAAGTTTTAACTTTAATAAAGCACGATATACATGTCTATATATAATTATATATACTATACTAATCACATCCATTAATAGGTTTATTAAATTTCCATACCTATTAAATAATTATTAAAATAATATTCATACCTAGATCAATCTACCATTTCATTTTATAAAAACTCCTTTGACCTTAATCCCATCCTAGTCAGTTGTTTAATCATTTAAACAACAAATTATAATAAAAGAAATACTCTATTTAATCCCAACCCGATAATGATTTTAATTGTTTAAATCACATATCCAAAATCCAAGTTTTGACAAATCATCCACGTCTTCCCCAATATTATTTTATTAATGTAAAATAATACACTAACCAGTAAGTACTAAACTATTCTCATTTAAGAATATCTAACCCTAATCCAATCCATACATACAACAACCATAGATGATATTTTAATCATCTAACACATAACAACGTAATTATGCTTTGGCAAATCAACCATGCCATTGTAAATATTTTTATTTATATATTGGCAATTCAACCATGCCTCCATAAGTATATTTATTTATACATTGGCAATTCAACCATGCCTCTGTGTATGTATATTTATACATTGGCAATTCAACCATGCCTCCACAGGTATATTTATTCATACATTTAATTAGCAATTCATCCATGCTTTCCATATATGTATTCTATTCATACAAATATTTAGGTAATATATTTAATCATTTGACAATTCATCCATGCCCACACTTTAACCATGAATTAACTTTAAAATTAACAATACGCTAAATCATACATAGCCATCACATGCATATTATACGCATATCATTAATTTAACAACCAGCCTATTAAGATATGCCAAATAAGAATGATAATATTAATCATCTTAAATGATTTATATATATATATACCTACACATATGTTATTTAATGTATATATGTGTTTAACACCTTCTTTAATAATCCTTGATTATTTAAAATCAATATACATACATACATACATATATATATATATATATATATATATATATATATATTCATCCTTCCATACAACTCATAGACAAATAAAACTATATATACACATATATAAATAATTATATATATATATATATATATATATACACTTCCTTCCATAACAAATTATTAATTTATTATATTTACACAAATTAGTGCAACTAAATATGTCAGAAATAGTTTCCTTTAAATACTCCATATTGGTTTAAATAGTTTTCCGACACTTTCTCACTAAAACATAAATATCTCCTAGTAGGATGGGAATCTGATAATGAAATTGGTACCATTGGAAAGAAGACGAAAAATCCTTGAATTTGAGCTCAAGAATGACCCAATTTCGATTTAAAATGACTAAGTTATGACCGTTTTAATTTCTAGTGTCGAATTAGGCCAACATAGTTTCCCACGCGCGCCCACGTGCTTACTATGCACTTGCACGCGCTGAATTCAAGCCTCCTTGTGTGCTGGTATTGGCTAAGCTCTTTCAACTACCGTGAGCTCACCACACTGAATCCATCACTTCCTTTTTGCCGCATCCAATGGTCATAAATGAGTGCGCAAATGAACACGCTCACACTAGATTATTTTCTATTAACTATAATAGATCTAAGGTCCAGATCAGCGAGTGCACCATCTTCTCATGGTCTGCAATACACCAAATAATCCCATAGTTGACCAGACCACTTCTATGGTCCAGATACACTTGCGCACCAAACTTTTATGCGCCGCGATGCACCATATCAATTCACATAAGTTTAATTAATCAAATGGCCCTAATTGGCGTATACACCCTATTATCCTACACCGCGCTGCACTGGATCAATTCTTTATTGTGCCGCCGCTCCTCATGCGCCAGTTACCTAGTATATATATATATATATATATAATTATTTTCCTAACAAATAATAGGAAAATAAATCCTAATAAATTCCTAAAAATATCAGAAAAATTCCAGAAAATTACAGAACAATTCTAGAAAATAAAGAAACCATAATTAACTCTCTTGGGTCACAAATCCACCTATAGATTGATTTTAAAATATACATAACACCTATATATATCAATTAAAATCCAATAATCTAAAAATCAAATATAATAGTTTATACTTTTTAATTATTCCGATCTAACCATAATTTTTAAACAAATAAATTTAATTAAAGCCTTGATACTCAAGGTGAAATCCTTATGAGTTCTAAGAGGAATGTTAGAGAAAACTCGCCTGAAGGTTTCGAAACGAAACCGACGCTTTAAGCTTTAATTATCTCTTCCAATTCCGACGTCCTCCTTTTCAGATCCGACCTCCTCCTTGTCAGCCCTTCCTCTTCCTCTCTCCCTGTCTGTTTTATTTTTCTAACGTGTAAAACCTTTAACTCTAAAGCCTTATGTGTATTTTTATACACCTTAAATTCCAAATCCTATTCCAACTAGTATTATGAATTAAAATAATAATCTTTAAATAATTTATATCTATAAACATATATATATATAAATATATATTCCTTCCATAATTAACTCATTAGTTAATTAAATCATATATACTTATAAATATCAATAAATATATATCTATATATATATCTTTCCATAACAATTATTAATTAATTATATATATATATATATATATATAAATATAATTGATACAAAACTGATCATTTAAATAATTAAATAACCACGGACCTTCATTAATTAACCCAATAAGGTTTCATACAAGCCCAAGACCACATCTTTTGGTCCAACTTTCCTTAAGCCCAATCCAATTAATTTAAATAAATAAGATAATTAATTAAATACAGAAATTAAAATAACTAATTACATGAAGCACATAAACAAACAAGAATTTACAACTAAGTCATATAATACCAATAAAATCAACACACCAATAATTCAATCAATAATCAACCACACAAACAATCAATCATCATACATAATCACGAAATATAACTTAATTAAAATAAGATAATTAATCTAGCACTCAATAAAATAAAATAAATTATTGAAAAATAAAATAAAATAATTAATCCTAATTAATAAATCTTTTAAAATTATCGGGGTATTACAGCTGCTCATCATCTGAATCATCCATAATTCTGGTCCAATTCATACATAATCAAAAATAGCAAAAACATGCCCCTGTTTGGGCCAATTCGTATAGGTGGACCACCCCACAAAGGAAGAAGGCCCATCAACCTTTAACCTGGAGACGGAATGTAAGAAATTAAGGTAAAATGTTAACTTCTATAAATAGAAGTGAGAGAAGGAAAGAGAGACCGATTGTTTGGAGTGCAAAAATCTTTTCCTGACATTTTCTTGCATCTTCAAGGACAGTGTTGATGCCACAACAACCACTATATGAGATGAAGAGTTGGCATTACTCTCACTGGGAGATGAAAAATACAATTATACTTCAAATTAGGATGTTGAGTGGGTCATTGATCCTGCAGCCTCTTTCCACACTGCACTTGCAAGGGAGTTGTTCATGTCCTACAAAGTAGGGGACTTTGGGACAGTAAAATGGGAAATACTTACCGTTCTATTGTGAGTAAGGTTAGAATCAAGAGTAAGCTTAGAATCGATTAACGATATAAACATACAGGAGTGACATCCAAGTAGAAAGAACAACAACAAAGAATAGGAGCTACAATCCAATCTATTCTAATCTGTTTTAATCGGTCTAACCTTCAGACGAGAAACAACAAACTAACAGCAGTAAACAAATAACCATATATAAGAGAATATCATATACAAATGTAGCAGATACGTGCATCGGTTCTTATTATAGTTATTGGGATTCTAGTCATTTGAATAAGGGGTATAAGAATAATGATCCCTCCAATCCCGTTCATATAAAAGTAAGGCAAGAATGATGATGATGATGATGATGATGATGATGTGTGGGATTTAACTCCCGTGTTGGGATAGCAAATAAGTTAGCAGCCACTAACGCAAGACTTTTGACCAAGAACGAAAAAGAAAAACATAAAATTAGAACTCCTAATTCCTAAATAGTTGAAATAGTAGAATGAGGGTTCAATGTCATTCATCGAATGAAATGTGTCCTATTGCAACTCTTTATGGTTTGATACTTTGATAGAATGGATGAAGTATTCCTATCAAGTCGGATGAACCAATAAGTGCAGGAATCATGGTGGCTAGCTAGCATATTAATTCCGCATAAAGAAAATATTAGAGAGAGAGAGCTTACCAGGACAGCAGGCACAGGAGGCCCAACACAATGGTAAGCATGAGGCCTATCAGGACAGAAACACCTGAAATGGTTCAAATTATCGAACCCACAATGCCCACCACTTTCCCCACATACACTACAGTTGTTGGCTACCCACTTCAACTCAAACCCTTTTCTCAATATCCCTAAAAATTCCTCATTTTCATCATTTTCAGACAATTGATGAATTGGTGCCATCACCTTAGTTTTGCAATTGTCCGTCCAAGAACCTAAGCTGGCATCATTAGGAAACTTTACTAGACCGTCACCACCATCACAATCAACCATGTAACTCGAAAGCTCCTTAGGCAAAGGCGACTTCAATGAACAATTGGAGTACAAAACGAGCATAGGTACATCCTTATAATCCTCAAACCGGGAGTCTTCAAGTGTCATGTTCCGAATTCTCGGAAAACACACATTGTTGGAATCTAAAACAGCATAGTTGCTTACAAGGATAGATTGGTTGGTGTAGAAGATCTTCTTAACTATATAATCGTTGTATGGTATGCGAAGAATCGGAGTGTCATTCTTGCAAGTGAGCACAAAACCGGGGTGCCCACAATAGGGTTTTTGCTGGCCTTCAATCCAGAACGGATAACTTATTTGTTGGTCACCACACTTGTTAATCGCTCCGCATTCCTCAAAGTGTGGATCAACACAGAGAGCTTTCCTCAATAATAAGAGAAAGAAAGTGAATATACTGAGGCTCAAGGATGTGGCTCTCAAGGTTGACAAACATTTTTGATTCATTAGGAGGATGGTGATGGAGTTGTAAATTAAAGATATAGATATACAGATGTGAAGATGATGTATAGTTTATAGATTATGTGTAGATAGAGAGAGAGAGAGAGTAATTAAGTATGACTTGGTATATGGAGTTGTTTGTATGCCTCTGACAGAATGGGTTGGCTAGCTAATCCAAAATCTATAATATCTGCCTCCCATCTTGGACTGTTGAATTTTTTTGCCACTGCCTAAATGGAGGGGCGATGTTCATAAAGTCGTATTAATTGACCAATCTCGTCGGTCAGACCATCTTAAACAATTACCCCATGATCACATATGGATCCAACATTAGATTATTCTTTCTGAATTATTATTATTATTATTATTATTATTATTATTATTATTATTTCGATTTTCAAAAGATCTTCTCATTTGATTACTCTCACAGGTATCAAACCTATGACACCAGTAAAATTAAAGTAAATTAAATCAAATGGATGGTAGTGAAATGAATTTTAATATGACTGATGTCATATTTAAATTGGTGGTTTGTATGACTCATATTCATATAGAGTTGTATTAATTGACCAATCTCTTACGTCAGATCATCAAAGACAATTAACCCATGTTTAATTATGGAATCAGCATTACATTATTTGTTCGGTAATTTTTTTTTTTTTGAAAGATCTTTTCATTGGATGACTCTTACAGGGATTAGTCCTATGACACGGGTGGGATTAAAGTCGCAAATTTGTATAATGTAGGAGATTTCAATTCACATTCACTGTATATAATTCGTCCATATACCGAAAGTCGATCCTATCATCCAACTGCGTTTACGATTCTATATTATATGAATCATGTTCATAAAGTTGTATTAATTGACCAATCTCCTTCGTCTGACCATCTTAAACAATTAACCCATGATAAAATATGAAATCAACTTTAAATTATTTGTTCTGTTTGTTGTTTTTTTTTGGGATCATATTTTTTTGGATCTTCAAAAGATTTTCTCATTGGATGACTCCCATAGGTACAAGTCCCATGACATGGGTGAAATTAAAGTCGCGAACTTACATGGTGTAAGAGATTATAATCCATCGCACTCATATACTGATGGATATAATTCCTCCACATACCAAAAATCAAACTTACCATCCAAATACGCTATACTTATGAGTTTTGTATGACATATAATTTACGAGAAAGAAGTCACAGGATATGCGCGTTGATCCACGATAAATCTTCCAACTTGCAAACAACCCATTGTGTAGGAAAACCAGTAGTCCATGATGGTGCCAAAAGAATTATTTGCTCTTTGGACCACCAATTAGGTCTACTGTTAAGAATTATTATATATGAAATGTAACTCCTTCCTTTGAACTATTAATTTTTGGTTTAGTTATATATGAACTGTAACTCCTACCTTTGAACTATTAATTTTTAAAAAAATTATATACATGTATATATAAATATTCTTGGGATAATAAATTATTAGATATTATGTCTTCATTCTAACAATATCCACGTCGAAATGGCTAGAGTTTTACCCTATAAAATCTGTAGTTTTTTTTTTTTTTTTTTTCATGGAACAGTAAAATCAGTAGTTAATACTGCAGAGAAAAAAGAAAAAAACAAGTTTGAAAGCTAATTGGTCTCGATAGCAAATGTTGAGAGTTAACGTCAAACATATATATATATATATATATATATATATATATGTATTTGGAAAGGATATTTAGAGTAGTCAAACTGAATTCCTAGGCCTGGGAGTCAAACATTTAACCTTTTTTTTTTTTTTTTTAAGGTAAAGTCAAACATTTAACCTTGCTTCTTGAGAACTAAATACCTTGTACGTACTGTCGTCCACAGCGCGAATAATTTAGTTGATGAGAAACAAAAAATGGGCGCGTATTTGGTCAACTATAACATCTTTATCACTATGCTTTGAACATAGTCTGTAATTAGGAAACTGTATGACTCCTCTAAATTTTTAAACCCTCAAACTAAGGTGGCCAGTTGCACCACTTAAGTCACATAAAACGAAAATAAAATTGAGATTTCAATAGCGGTACAATTAAGTCATAAATAGTGGCAAAGGAAAAAAAAACACGCATGGAAAGTGAAAACGAAAACACGAACAGAATGTAAAAGCGACACTCATTAAGGAGGATTGATTGTGTGACTTAGGGCACCACATTATCAAAAGGAAATTTTTTATCTTTTCTCTTTTTCTACCAATTTTATTATTTTTTGCAATATATGATATTGTGGATTATTTTATTTTTATTTTTTATTTATTTTTTCTTCACAAAACTAGCTTGATTCTTCAAATTCTATTCCCCCACCACACACATCAGACTGACGTGTCATTCTACTAAATAAATTTATTTTTTGTAACTGACGTGGTTATTCTAAATATTTTTCTACACAGTGTAAAATAGCAGAGGAAGGAAAAAAAAGCAAAAAAACAAAATTTACATCAAGACATCCAAAGATTTAGAACTTTGAAATGTAAGCATCAATCAATTGTTGTTTTGATGGTTCTGTAGATAGAAATATGAAAATGGTAGACTTTCATTTACGACAGAGACTTGGTAGATCACTTCATTGGACAAATTTCTAACATGATTTGATAGCATAATTTCGCAAGGTCCTTTTCATTGCTTATTGGGAAAAAAGAGAAAGTCTTGGGATTTATTGTCAAATGATATTAATAGTTTAGCGTACACACTCTGTACTTAAATTTTTAGTAATAGATGGCGATTACCATAGCAATGGAGTTAAAAAGTTTTAAATTCAAACCTCCCTCTTCATCAGTAATTTAAGAGATGGAGATTAACATATTAAAATCGGTGAAATTAATTAAATCGGCCTATTACCAAGCTGGTACAAACTCACCTCTTAACAAAAACAAAAAACAAAAAAAAGTCTCGGAATTTGAGTTTCGATGGAGACAGAAGTGTGTGAGTTTGCTTAACTTTTATAAAAAAAAAAAATTATAGGTGAAATTATACATAATTTCATAGGCTCCTCTTGATCACTTCTAATTTAAGAGTAAAAAACAAAATAGTTTCATTATCTGGTGTGCCATTTGAAGGAAACACTAAAAATATACATAAATTTTGATATTATTTTAAACAAAATAATTATTTTAATTTTCAAAATGGTCCCTTATTCTGCTGAACAAGTAGTGTTGTTGTCGCCCCTCATTGATTAGAACATGGGTGGGAAGTGAGCAAGTGGCAATAATAGTCACGCGTGGGAAGTGGTGGCTGTGGAAGTAGTCAAAACTGTAAAGATGTTGATGTTTAACCTATGCATTGCCTTTATATATATATATATATATTTATTGTGAATTTAAGTATAAATATTAATCCATGGTCTTTCTTTCAAGAAAGTCTACAATATTCGAGTACGATGCATTCTACAATATTCGAGTACGATGCATTGATGTCTTTCAATTATTCGATCATCCGTGGTAAGGGTGAATCCCACAATCACATTCAAACTACTGAAAATCTTCAAAATAGGATACCCAAGAGTACAGTAGACTTTCAGCTTTCTCATCGACTTGGGACTGTTGAAAGAGACGGCAATTACAGTCTTTTCTTTCCTAACTTTTGGCTCATAATTTCCAACCAAACATAATTAATTGAGGTCGTCAAGGACGTTCATTTTTTTAATACCCTAAATACCTTCGTAATCTTTCTAGAATTTCAACTAAGTGCAAGCATAACAACGGGGTCACCAATTTGCAAAAGGTTCACTGAACAAATGGTGCAAAAGAAAGCCTTCACTAGATATAAATCAATGGAGCTTCTAGTACGGCACATTCAAAACCAAAAAAATTGTCAAAGTTCAACATAATCAAAGTGGGAAAAGAAGTATCAATTATTTCAAACCGACCAGTTTGATTTATCAACCACGTTAGGGTCTATTCTACTGTGTTTTTTTTTTTTTTTTCGTCTGCATTTTCTTAAGAATTCTACATGCTCTTTTTCAACTAAAGAGGAACTTTCTGACGTGGACCGTGTTAAATAATTTTACAAGTTTTGGTTATTGAATGATCTTCTTTAAGTATGGTTCCATCTGGTTAATTGACATGGTATCAAGAATCTGCAGTTGCGGGTAGATCCTAATGGACTGACTAAACTTCTTCAGCAGTAGTTTCTATATTTTGTTTCCCAAGCTGCAAAATCCATTGGCATTTGACAGAAAATGGTTTTGCCTTCTTTTAAGTTACAACCAACAATTCTGCATAGTCCACCAAGATGTCTCCATATTATGCCCATTTGATGCAACAAAATGATCCAAACCCAATATTATAGATGGTTTCATATGGGTTGTAACACATATTCCAGTCAAATATGTGTTGGGTCAAAATAGATTGGGTCAACTTGTAAGACCCAATGACCCATTTTTTTATTATTTATTTATTCTTTAAATAAAGAAAAAAATATATTTTAGTGTTAGTCTACCTTATTTTACTAAAAATTTGATAAAAAAAGATGTTTCATTTTAATTGCTATTACGTACGTGGTTGAAGGTAAATGAAAAGTTGACAAAACTTATTTTATACATATATATCCTTCGAACTTTTTTGAAAATTCTTTTATTTTATATTATTTTATGATTTATGAAATTTCAACTTTTAACTCATCTGAATTCAAGTTACAAGATCTGACTTTTTAAACTTGACCTATTTATAGGACCTGACTCGTCATAAAATCCGACCCATTTATAAAACTCGACCTGTTTGCATTACCTTAATCATCTTCTCGAATCAGCATAAATAGCAAAAATATACTAACTTTTAACTTGACATGGATTGTTTATAAGACCCGATCCATTATCATGACCCAATCCACCCGTTGAACTTTTCAAATAATTATATTAAAAAAGGATAAATTAAACGGACCTCCCCTGGTTTTTTATAATTACAGGGACATCCTTATGGTTTGGAAAATTACTTGAACCTTCCTAAATATGAAACTAACCTACACGGATCTCCCTTATGTGACAAATAAGTCAATGACGGATTTTGCTGATGTAATGTACTTAATACACTAAAATTCCTATATTACCCTTAGTTGAAATATACATATATATATATATATATATATATATATATAACCTAGAAATCTTCTCTCTCATTTGATACTCTCTCTCCTATTCTTCGTCTCTGTGTTTCTCTAATCTGGTTCTGTTCTTGTTAGTTTTTATCTCTATTTTCTTTTTCTCTGATTCATCAATTCTTCCTCTCTCTCTCTCTCTAAACTATCTTCTCCCTTTCTCATCTTTGTTTATGGGTCTATTTCATCCATATGAATAATCAAACAAATACATCGATCTGGTATCTTTCATTCATCAAAACAACCAAATAAAGACATCATCCAAGCAAAAATGATCTAAGCACAACCATGGCCATGGATTACATGGACCAAATGAATCTAAACACCACCATGGCCATGAATTACAGGAACTAACATATAATACATTTGAAGATATATTTAGACATAGGTTGTTCATCTCTGTAATTCTACCCCCTTCTCACTTTAATTTCACAAAATTGAAGGAAAAAATGGAGCATTAAAATTCCTTTTACTGTTTGTCGAGATATCTTTCGGTTCATGGATTTTCCCTCTCTTCAATTTTGACCCTCTTTCTTTGATTTCACATATAAGCCCTAATTTTGTATCTTCATACATTCAATTTTGTTAGATATGTTTATGTCTAAAGTCAGATTTATTTATTTATTTATTTTGTGGATTTCTGTTGTTTAGAGTTTGAGAGTTCCTATAGAGAATTTTGTGATGTTTTAGGACTTACACATGCAAAAAAGAGTTCACTTCTCTCTCTGAGCCAATAATCAAGTACCACTGACATTACAACAGTGTCTCCCCCAAAAATGAGTTTGCAAAGTTAAAGAGAGAAAAAGATGAGAGAGAGTAAAGAAGACATTGAATATATATGTACATATATATAGGGATAATTTCACTGACATACCCTAAGGTTTGGCCAAATATCAGTCTCAAACATTTTTCGAAAATAACTATCACTCACATTATAAACGTTTGCTCCGTTTTTCAATCACACCCCAAAAGTTAGTTGACAGGTGTGTAAGACCACTTTTTACATGTAAAAAGACATTCTTACCCTTTGATTTTGGTTTGACACACTAAATTTTTTCTTTAATGATTAAAATTACATGTTTACGCTTTTGTTTGCATCTCTCTCTCACAATTTACAATATCTCAATCTCTATTCTCACATCTGCTGAATCTTCACTTTCCATTCTTCTATTTTATTTGTCTTGGACCAAACTTGGAATATGCCAGAGGTATGTGTTTAATTTTCTTGTTTAGTTTCCTCAACAACTCTTTTTAACCTCTGTTTTTTTGGTGCTCCCATTTTGCTCTCTTACATGCATCTGATTTTCTCTCACTTCCTCTGTCTCTCTCTTAGTTTTTCTAAGTTACTTTCAAAGAATTTGTGAATTAGGCTTTCTTTAGACCTGAATTTGTGTCTCTCTCAGTCTCTTGAGTGTGTCCTAGAGAATGTTCACTTTTCTTCCCAAAAAAAAAAAAATTCTCCACTTTTGTTTGTCATTCAAAATCAAACTATGTATTTGTCTTGAAGTCTCTTCCTTTAATTTCTTAGCTTTCTCGTTATTGGGAGAAAAAAAAAAAGACACATCCACTCTTGTTTGTTTTGAAGTCTCTTCCATTAATTTCTTAGCTTTTTCCTTATCTAAGAAACAGTCGTAAGCTTTCTGTATTTCTATTGGCAATTCCTTTATATTCTGTATTGCATCGTCTCCTTAGAGAAAGAAGAAAAAGAAATAAATTGAAAGTTTCTTGTGAACTAAAAATAGGCGACAATATTGCTAGTTGGTGTGTGCCGTCCTGCACCAAATTAAAAGTGCGTAGTGTGGCCAAGTTTGAATTTATAGAACGCCACTACTACCTCTAACTACTAATATAGTTAGGGTGAGTAGGGATCGTCCCAAGGGAAAAAGGGCAGTATTTGTATGGAAACAATGTTGGATTAGTAGGTCGAGTGATCAAAAGATAATTTGTTTGGTTAATTAACTACAATGTCAATTAAATGGATGCAAGGTAAAGCAATTAAAGTAGAGTAAAATGTAGAGAATAATAGAGAAGGGTCTTGGGACTTAGAGGTCACCACTAAACATCACCTTCCTAGACACTCAATGTGTAATGAATGAGGGGGATTATGTATTGCAATACTAGTGTGTGTTATTAATTGAATCAACAAATATGGATGACTAAATAAGTATATATTGTCTAGACAAACTAGTGAATAGCACAACATATTAAATTGAGCCATTATTACTTCCTTTAAGTCCACAATCAATACACATCATTAAATTAGAGAAATATACTACTTGCATTCATAAGTATGGAACATCAAACAATCAGTTTAGATTGTCCTCCCATCTAAGAAAGTAAAGCAACTACACTACAACTAGGTTGGGGACATGAAAATTAAACTAAGAAAGAGGCACAATCCATCAAGAAATGAGTATGAACCATCAAATAAACCTCAAGAGTATTCCATTTATGTACCATGCTTTAACCATCACTAGATTCATAGCATCAACACACATAGACATGAATCAATATCACAAAACCTAGAGATAAACACATGAAAATCTATTCTAGCATACATAGACATATGAATAGAATAAAATGATCAATTGAAAGTATTAAACTACAAAAATCCTGGTAGAAACAAGATTTATATATATATCAAAGGTCAAGACAAGAATTACAACACTAATTCCCACTAATTACAAAACATCAAAGTCTAGGAGGCATGCTTAAAGTTAGCTCTAGCCCCAAAAAGATGTTTAGCCACTCATTGATGTTGTCATTGATGCGACCCGAGCGTGTGCACAAAATAATGCACAACACTTTGAGTTTGAAAATTAGTGTCAAGTGGGCATCATACTTTAAATTTATAAACCGCTTAGCACCTATACTATGTAGTATGAGTGAGAAGGGATCGTCCCAAGGGATTAAGGGTCGTACTAGGTTGAGGAATGAAGATTAGGGTTAGTAGGTCGAGTAATCAAAATAGTGGTTGGTGGTTGAATTACACTAAGATGCAATTTAAACTAAAGTAAACAATAATGCAATAAGTAGAATAAAAGAGAGAGAGATCTTGGGGTTTAGAGATCACCACTAAGCATACTTTTCTACACCTTTAATGAATGATTAATGAGGGAAAAAACATGTATTACAACAAAGAGTGTGTGTGTGGTTGTTTCAATAAGCACGGATGACAAATTAAGCATATATTGTCTAAGCAACATGGTGGATATCACAACATATCAAATTAAGTCATTAATCCCTTCTTTAAGCTCACAACCAAACACATCACAAGGTTAGAGATATATGTTACTTGCTTTCATAAGTATGGAACATCAACAACAAGCATGGATTGTCCTTCCATTTAACAACTACACTACAACTAAGCTAATGACATGAAATTAAACTAAGTGAGAGGTACAATCCATCAAGAAATGAGTATGAACCATCAAATAAACCACAAGAACATGCCATTAAGCACTGTGTCTTGACAATCTCTAGATCTATAGCATTAATACACATAGACATGCATCAATAACACAAGAAATAGAGACAAACACAAGAACATCTATTCTAGCATACATAGATATATGGATAGAATGAAATGATCAATTGGAAGCATTAAACCATACAAATCATTGAATAAACAAGATCTATGTATATGAAAGTGTCAAAACATATATCACAATACAAATTCCCTTAAAAATACATAAATCTCCTGAATCAGTCCCTCTTTAGCACGATGTTGGGTCAAAGGTCAATGATTGTCTTGATTTATCATAAACAGTGAGAGCACGGTATTGCGCGCTGTATTGGTGTGACAATATGGAGCTGGTCTAGGAAAGACCTTCACTTAAGATAATGGTGTTTTCTAGACTCAAATGATTTGTTTCGAGTGACGAGGTGTGTTAGGTAGGACCAAGTGTCCAATCCGTAGATTATTAAAGATCTCGTTTTGAGGATTTAGGTCCTGGTGAAAGACAATACGTTTTATTGTTCTGGTGACTCTATGATTATGTAGTCGTTGGGAGATTTGTTGCTTAGCCATCTTGTAGTTGTTTCATATGATGATTGTCATATAGTGCGGTTGGTAGTTGCTGGTGCGGTTATGCGATGGTGTAGTTATGCGGTAGATAGCGAGTGTTTGGTCTGACAGGGACATGTAGATTTGAGTTTGAGCTTGATTGTGTGACGAATGAAATTCCTTGTCTAGGGTTTTGTGTATTCTTTAAGGGATAAGTTGGGATTCAATGTTTTCGAGTATGCGGGAACTGTTGGATCTGAATTTCGAGACGAAGTTCTTTTTAAGTGATGGAGAATGTGACAACCCGAATTTTTAAGATTTTAATTTATCTCATTATATTTTATTTAGTTGTCATAATTAAATAATTTAATTATGATTAGACTTACCAAATTAGAGATTTTGGGTTATTGATAATTTATTTTTTTTTTTAATTTTTGATTTTAGTAAATTAGTTTTATTTATTTATTTAGTAAGTTGGTGGGTTTTGATGATAGATGTGTACAATACATGTATTGGATTATTGGTGATGATGGAAAGATGGAGATTTTTAAATTGGTTTGATTTGATTTTATTATATATATATATATATATATATATATATATATATATATATATATTGTATGCTGAAGAGAAGCTTTTAGACGAAGTGGACTGAAAAAAAAAAAAAAAATGAAATGGTAATGGCTTTAGGTGCGGGTCCCACTTGGGAAAATGTGGAGCTGCTGACGTAGAGAGAGAAATGAGAAGTGGTTGTTTTATTTATTTACTTTTTAAGTGGAGATATTTGTTAAGTAAGGTAATGATGGCATCTGATGTGGTAGGAAGCAAAAAAGGGAGTGGCTGCCAAAATTTTGTGGGAGAAAAAAAAAAAAAAAAAAAAAAAAAGTTTGTTGTGTGTCCCACTAGGAGTATTTTAAGCCAAGAAATTCACTTGGCTTTGCTTGGTTCAGTTGGGTTGGTCTGATTTATTGAAGTGAGAGATTGTGTAATGTTTAGTGATTTTTCTGATGACGCATTGGGATTTTAAGCCAAGAAATTCACTTGGCTTTGCTTGGTTCAGTTGGGTTGGTCTGATTTATTGAAGTGAGAGATTGTGTAATGTTTAGTGATTTTTCTGATGACGCATTGGGCTGGTTCAGATGGAGATATTTTGTATAGTTAGTGTCGGTGCATTTTCCTTTTATAAAGTGACTGTTTTGTGACTTTGGTGAGCATATTAATAGAGTGAAGTATTGAAGAAGCACATTCACAGAGAGAGTGAGCCGAGAAAGATATAGTGAGCAGAGAGAGAGAGAGTGAGAGCCGAGATGAACAGACAAGAAAGGTTCGAGAGTTGCAGAGAAGGCCTGAAGTTAGAGGCTTTGATGATCTAGTGAGGAAAAATTCTTTTTTTCAAGGTAGAGGTGCTCTAATTCACTATTTCTTAGATTTCTTGTTAATTGTCCCCTTTAATTTGACATTAAACATGCTTAATTTTAATTTCTTTTGATTGTGTTTGTTAGGGATTATTTGTATTTATGGTGATAAATGTGTGTTATGAGTTAATTGGACTTATTAGTATGATGGTTTTCAATTTGTAAAGAAGCATGCTTAGTGTTAGTTTGTTTCATGATTTTAATTGCTTTGAAAATTTATGTTATAATTATGGAAATAAATGTCTAGAGTTATAAATGTCTAGAGCTTCTTATTAAGATTGTCATGATGATGTAGATGGAATGTGTGTAAATTTTAGTATTGAATTGGCATTTAAAAGAATGATGCATTCATGCATCCATTGGGAAAGAAAAAGGGAAAAATGTTTTGAAAGCAAATGAAACTATTTTGAGGAAATAATTTTGAAAGGTGTTTGTGAAAACTGGACACCTAGAAGGCGCCTAGTGGTCCGTGTTGTGGTAAACTTGTGATTGGTTGATATTTGCTACATACTTGTTGTTGTGGTTGAGAATGTGCATTTTCCTATAGCATGATCCCGTTCACTTTTTATCTGTTCATCGTATCGATTCCCGAGATCATAAAATGTATGTCTTAGACACTTCCTACTGAGCTTATGCTTACCCCTTTATTATTAACATTTTTAGGACACGGAAGGGAAGTGGCGGAGACGCTCCTCCACAGGGTTGGTTGGGTCAGTGGAATAAATCTTGGAATGACACGCATATTATATATTGACATAGGAGAGGACGGTAGTGTCCTTAATTGATCTCGGGTTCGGATAAGGACTCGGTTAGCGATTCGAACTCTCAGGTTCGGGTCATTACAACTACGTCAAAGATGGATTGCAAACTCAGAATATTTATTAAAATTTGAGTAAAAATCCTCTGTAATTTTTCCTCTGATAGCAAAATTTTGTGAGTTTGCCCTGTGGTTTTTCCCCCTACACTGGAGGGTTTTCCACGTAAATTTTGGATGTCAGTGTGTTTTTGTTGCTACGTTTATTTTATACTAATTTTTCTTAAGCAAACTATTTGGGACCAACAAGTGGTATCAAAGCGAGTTTGGTCGGTGATATATTATGCTGTGATTAAATTGATGGCTTCAAACTATGGGGTTTGGAAGCCTAAAATGGAAGATATCTTTTATTTTAAGTATTTATGTGACCTTATTAAGGGTGACACTGCCAAACCTGCTCAGAAAAGTGCTAAAGATTGGGAGAAGACGAACGGGAATAACAGAAAATTTGTGGGGCTGGTCAGAAAGTGGATTGATCATAATGTGTTTCACCATGTTCCACATGAGACTAATGCTTATACTCTATGGAAGAAATTGGAGTCGTTAAGAGAGGACGACTACTCAGAATAAAGCATTTTTTTTTATAACAAGTGAATTTGAAGTTCAGGGATTTTTGTTGTGGAGCACTAGAGTGATTTTCAGAGTTTGGTGAACCAGTTATCCAAAATGAAGATGGTGTTAGATGATGAGTTACATGCATTGTTACTTCTTAGTTCATTGCCTAATAGTTGGGAGACTTTGGTGGTATTGCCCAGCAATTCTGTTCTAGATGGTAAAATGACTCTAAAAGGGGTAAAACAAAATACATTTGCATTGACCAATTGTATATCATTTCAGATTAACGCAAGGATTAATCCCAAACAAATCCAAGTAAGAATTCTCTATGCCAAGACAAACAAATCCCAACATGTGTTAGATGACGAGTTACATACATTGTTATTTCTTACATCGTTGCTTGATAGTTGGGAGACTTTGGTGGTATTGCTCAACAGTTCTGCTCTAGATGGTAAAATGACTCTAAAAGGGGTAAAAGATTGTATGTTTTCAATGAAGAATTACGACAAAAGAATGTTCATAGAGATCAAACTCAAGTTCAAGCTCTTGTCGCAGAGGATAAAGACAGAAGGAGGTCCTCGGAGTTTGTTGGAAAATAAACTTGATTTTAATATTTAGTATTTTCAAGTATTTTTGTATCCATGATGCATGTGTGAATTTAACTTATATGTTAGTGAATAGTAAATTGTGTTAGTGGGAGTTAGTGTGATGTTGAAGGTTATGTAAAATCAAGAGTAATGAGAATTAAGTTTAGTAAACACTATGTTAGTGGGTGGTGGACGAGTCTCACGAGCGCCAGAGTTTGAGCCATCCATCCACTCTTTCCCCCTCTATTCCCAACCACTAACCATTAAAAAATAATAATAAATAAATAAAAATAAAATATGCTACCATTGTTATGACAAACACCGGCAACCCATAATCACAGATTCACAATCAAGAATCAACGGAACAAAAGAAAATCACTCCATTGCTTATAACTTTATGTTCAGATTCAAAATGGGTTCCAAAAAAGATACCTATGGATGCATTTTAGACTCTATGTGTAAGATTGAGAAAATTTCACGACTACAATAATCGATTTTGTTACGTAAAGTCAATACAAGTCTGATTCCGCTACACCGCGATACGACACCAGCTTGATTATAGGCCTCTCAAACCCTTAAACCCACTATACCCTTTTTTTCTCTCTTCTCTCTATTTCAGCTTTCTGGGTTGTTTCTCTACAAAACAATAAAAGCCCTAGCATCTTTATAAACTGATTTACAACAGAGACTAGATTTGGAATCAACTAGCTGTTATGTTTGTGGTCTTCAAGTTTTGAGAAATATTTGGTTTTTAAATGCAAATGTTTGTGTTGGTGGGGAATATATTCTCCACAGAACTAGACCAAAAAGTACCACAATTGTTAATCAGAGGTAAGGATGCAAATCAACCAATTAAGAAAAACCCTAATCTGATTTATTTCCAGTAGACTATTTTCTTCTGCTAGCCCTTTGAAAAACCTTTCACCCTGCCAAGCGCAACAGCTTCCAAAAGTCTTCTAGTCATTTTTCTCCATCCCAATTCATATACATTCTTTATAGGCGGAAAGTTCAGCAACTTTAAGATTTTTTATTATCACCTTTAATATTTCAAGTCAGAATTTTCTTCAAGATTTTCTCATTGTCAGAATCTATCGACTTAAATATACAAATAACAGCTCCATTTACATGTACACTCCCTCAACCTTACGTTTAAATTTTCAAGATGAACAACAAAACAAAGACAAGTAGATGATGAGAAGAGAGAAATTCAACCTATTAATTTGAATATATATATATATATATGGGTGTTAAATTGTTTTAGGAAACACTTGTGTTGGATGCGGTAGATCTACTAACCCAACTCTCTGTCACAGAAACTGGTGAAGGTGGCAGCTCTTTACTCTTCAATAACACGACCTCATCGGATTCCGGTGAAGGAGGTGGTTGTCTACCCTTCAACACCCCAACACTGTCAATTACCTTCTCTGTCTCCTCACAATTGCAATCTTGGCCCTGAATTTCCATCAGTGTCTCCAAAACATCATCCATTGTAGGCCTCATTTCCGTCTCAAACTGCAAACACCGAAAAGCCAACTCTGCCACTGAAGTAGTCATTCTCCGCACTTCACTGTCTGACTCAAATCCGAGACTCGGGTCAATCAATTCGTTGAACGCGCACTTTTGGATCCTGTTTACTGCCAATTTAGCCAAATTAATCTCATGCCTATGCCTACCTATGTCAACTGCTGGCAATGATGATATGAGCTCAATTAGGACAACCCCAAAGCTATAAACATCGCTTTTAACAGTAAGTTGGTAACATTGGTGATACTCTGGATCAACGTAGCCCGGTGTCCCCTGTGGAGCAGTTGAGATATGAGTGACATCGGTTGGGAAGAGCCTTGAAAGCCCGAAATCAGCAACTTTGACACAAAAATTGTTGTCAAGGAGAATGTTGTTGGTTTTGACATCGCGGTGTATGATGTCAGAAGCATGGAGGTAAGCCAATGCAGTCGCGGTTTCTATGGCAATGTTCATCCGAATAGACCATGGGAGTGGACCGAACTTTGCTTGATCACCGTGGAGATGGTCAGCAACCGTGCCATTGGGAATGTATTCGTAAACAAGGAGCAGTTCGCGGCTATGTCGTGATGTGCAGCCATAGAGAGTGACAAGATTGCGATGGCGCAGGCGAGTCAGGATTTCTATTTCATTCTTGAACTGCTCCACTCGCTTGTAGTTGTGCTCGTATAAGCGCTTGACTGCCACTTCTCTCCCATCTCGAAGTTTGCCTAGTCCATAAAAAAATATCAAACACTTCCCCATTTTGCACACGCACACACACAAACACAAAAGCGGCAACTTAGAATTTTCTTACCTTGGTATACAGTTCCAAAACCTCCATCTCCAAGCTCTTGATTAGGGTCAAAATTATTGGTTGCTTCTTCGAGTTCAGTGTAGGAGAAGACAGGGACCCCAAAGAAAACGCTACCTCCTTCAAGGTCTGCTCTCGAGGAGGGATCAGAAGAAGTGTTCCTTGAAAGGAAGTATGAAGGAACATACTTCCACTTGTATCGACGCCATATAATAAATACGAGAAAGGCAAGGAGGATAGCAACAGATGCTGAAATAGCTGGAAAAAACCCAAAAAAAAAAAAAAAAAAAAAATATATATATTGAATTCAGCCATTGATTCTGTTGAAAGAAAACAAACTAAAAGCAGAGAAAAAGAAAGTAAAAATGTTAATTTGACCGAAAGCGGTTGAGTGAAATCTTCAAAATTGGAAGTCAATTACTCAATTATATGGTGAAGGTTACAAAGTAAACTTACAGACAAATCATGAAAAACTGAACACACACACATATTATATATTTAATACATTGCGAATATTATTATTTTAGGAGGTATGTACCTGCTCCTAGAATCAATCCATATTTTCTTTTTCCTGCAATCAATGTTGAGCAGAAATATGTTAGTTCCGGCATAAAGAAGTATGAAATCAAAGTAGTGTAGTTGGCTTACTCTTTCAACCTCAACTAAGGATCCAAAAAAAATAAAATAAATAAAATTCCAGCCCCTTATACAGAACCGATTAAGGGTGTAAAAGAGAGTCCTACTGATTGAAGATCTTGACCTGGTTTGTGCGGATTACTTAATGCAGAAACAGTAGCATATATATATATATATATATAGAAACATTCATACCTTTCTCATGACATTGAAATTCTTCACCGACATTTAGGCATTGGCCTCCTCTACTTCGACACTGATTACAATCAGGGGATATATGCAATTCAAGATGGAAAGTTTCAACCAATATTGAAGATAGGTTTGTGGGGTTTAGAGAATTTTGCCACGGCTTTATTGGCAGCTGAATAGCTGAACATTCATGGGGAACAATACCGGATGCTGGTTGATGATCATAAGACTTCAAGTAATTGTAATAAATTGAGTAGCCGCCTCTGCAATCGTACCTAGTATAATTATTACTAGTTTTAAAATAAAACGCTGTTTGAGGAGTATTGTAGCACTTGAAGAAGGTGAGATTGTGTAAGATTGTGAAGGAAATGAAAGGAACGTTGGAAAGAGTTAGATTCCTGAACTTGTCATTACAGCTTCCATTAGATATGTGATCTTCGAGCAGGGGATCATGAATTTGAAGGAATTTGTCACTTGTGATTTTAACATCATACCAGCGTTGGCTTCCTAGTTCGACCTTTGGAACTGGATGATCACAATCTATCACAATACCGCAATGGCCATACGTGGTATTTGTGAAAGGGAAGCGGATGGGACTCTGATTTCCACATTGGAAGAACTGGGGGCAAGTGGGTAGGCTTTTGATATCATCTTCAGTTGAGTAAATAAGCGCTAGATGGGAAAGAAAAACCAAAGCAAAAATGGAGGCAATAGCCATTTGAAGTTCCCCAAAAAAAAAAAAAAAAAAACAGAGGAAATCAGTAAAGAAAAGAAGAAGAAGAGGCAGAAACAAATTCAGTTGTTTAAAACTAGTTAATTATGCCCCCCTTCTTGTTTTTGCTTGTTCACAATACATTAACATATATGTTTCATCTGTCTATCAGCTCAAACACGCCGAGTTGACTTGGAAAATGATAGGGAAGACTTGCAGAAGCAGACTCAGAGAAGACCCAAGACATTACAAATAGCCGGACAAACACTCCAATGAAGAAGTTTCCTACTCATTTCTCTCATTGACCAGCCCTACAAAGACTCCTTGACTCTTCACACACACACACACACACACACACACACTCTCTCTCTCTCTCTCTCTCTCTCTCTCTCCTCATTTTCTAACTTAAACGAAAGGGCCGCGAAGGCCACTGTAGATTTTTAGGCTTGTTTGAAATGTCAAAACTAACAATACTACTAGTAACAACACAACAAAAAAGTCTTGTCTCATAGTGAGAAAGCAAGTGGTGGTGATAATTTTATTAGGGGTCTTGGTCTTAAAAGAACGCAAAAGTCTTTATTATGAAAACGGACATTGAAACTTTATATTGTGTGGTAGTCTTTATTCGTTGGTGTACGAGACGGGGCCAAAGAAAAAAACAGTAAAGCTAAAGATAATAAGTCATGATCATGGATGAATACTTTGGGGAGGTCCATGGTTCTTCCATAATTTCAAAGAGAGTAGTCAGGACTGTGTTTGATTATACTGCCCTCTCCACAATTTGACATTGCTCACAAGGCATTGCATTGTATTATAATACAGTGCAATGCCTAAAAAAAAAAAAAAAAGAAGTGGTCGGGAAGGTTGTAGCCCTCTCATTGGATATTTTATTTTATACATAGAAAATTTCGGTTTTGTTATTAATAGACACTTTAAATAACTGAAAGAAAGGAAATGAATTAGTTATTCCTCAACCTTTCAATTATTCAATGACAAGAATTAAAAGAGGTTGGAGTCAATTCAAAAGTCTAAAACAGCAAAAGGGTGATGGATTGTGCATGAAATACGTGTAATTGGATGTATATTGTGTGTAATTAAGAGGGAAAAAAGAAAATGGGGCCAAGTTTCAATCTTACGATCTCCGCAAACTACATTAAAGCCCGGGGTAGCTTCAGATTTCTATTTCAGTG